GATCAAGTAGAGGGGGATGGAGATGTTGCGACGATTACCACTAAGTGCCATCGCCCTCCAACTCCAAGTAGATAACCTACATCTGAGCACCGATAAGGGGAGTGTGACCCAGTTGGTGCTTCTAGACCTCTCAGCAGCTTTTGACACAATAGACCATGACATCCTCCTGGAACGCCTGAGAGAGTTAGGAATCAGAGGCACTGTACTCCAGTGGTTCCGTTCCTTCCTCTCAGGCGGTTCCAGAGGGTGTCACTCGGGGACAGCTGCTCCTCAAAAGTGGAGCTGAAATGTGGTGTTCCACAGGGCGCCATCCTATCCCCTATGTTATATGAAGCCGCTGGGAAAGATCATCAGGAGACATGGGGTGGGATGTTATCAATATGCTGATGACACCGAAATATATTTCTCCATGTCTCGGTCAGCTGCTATGACGGCAGATGGCAGTTCTCCCCTCAATCAATGTCTTGAAGCGGTAATGGACTAGATGAGGAAAAACCAAAAGCTGAATCTGGATAAAATGGAGGTACTTATGGTAGGGGCCCCCAAACCACGTATTGGGTTGCAACCTCCAGTCCTGGGTGGGGTCACGCTCTCTGCTAAAGACTGTGTTCGCAGTCTGGGGGTACTCCTGGACTCGTTGCTTCACATCATAGATCAGGTGAATGTGACAGTCAGGAGTGCCTGATATCAGTTTTGGCTGATATGCCAGCTGCGCCCATTCCCAGAAGTAAGGGAGCTAGAAACTGTAGTACATGCGCTGGTAACCTCACAACTTGACTTCTGTAATGCACTCTACATGGGGCTATCCTTATACCTAACTCGGAAACTACAACTAGTACAAAATATAGCAGCCAGGTTGACCACAGGAACATCGAGGAATGATCACATCACTCCTATTCTAAAATCTCTTAACTGGCTAAGCACTGTGCAAAACAATTGTAGGTCTGCTCAGATAGTTTAAAGTCTCTGTTGGACTGATAAAACTGAGAGCGAGAAAGGCAGGGACTCAGAAACAAGCTGCATGTTGCATTAATTGTAACTGCATTGCACATCCATGTTTCTGGTTTAGATAATGGGCACAAGAAGCGATAAGGACTAGGACAAATTCATGGGGCATGGAGAGTGGTTTTTTTTAAAAAAAGACTCGATGACCCTCTCCACCCAAAGCTACTGTTTTCCCCAGGAAGGAAGCAACTTATATCAACTTCTCTCCTAGGACAAAATAGCAGATCTGAGGAAGAGTGAGTTGATATTGTTGGGACCATGTTCCATGTTCTCCATTGTGTGTGAATTTGTGTATGCACACATACACATGGCTGGTTTCTTTTTTGTTTAAACAAAGCAGCTTCATTTTTAAACAGACAGCTATATGTGAAGATGGATCTAATGTAATGTACAGTATGATGGGATGAGTTCATATCAAAACCAATGACAGTAAAAGGCAGTATTTACTTTTTGTGGAATCTAGTGTTTGATTTTTTATTATTATTATTATTAATCTGGGTCCAGAAGAGGAATAAATTGTTTCAGACACTGGAAGCCATCTGACAGATGGCACAGAGGGAAAGGGAGTGTAAGTGGATAGTGAGACTATATATATAGAAACAGAAAAGCAGGTGAGGGGACATTAGGAAGATTATCAGAGCTTTCTATGTGATCTTAATGGATGATTAAAATGTATATTAAATGTAAATAAAAAGGAGTCTTTTGGCACTTTAAAAAAGGGATCCATGTATTGTGGCATACACTTTCACAGATTAAAGCCCACTTCATCTAATGCACAGTGTTCTCCTCAGTTGTCAGGGATATTAAAGGATATAAAAAAGAAAATGTAAATAGTGTGGTAAGAAGAAAATGAAAAGCAAAATCATCTATAACCATTAGTTGACTTTTATTATAGGCTATTGGTATTATTACTGTTCTCTTATTTCTATGGCTTCATCTCAGTTCATGGAGCTTTCTACAGTACAATAAGCCAAAGAAATGGTCCTGATCCAAGGATTTTGCAATCTAAAGTTATACAGGTAGGGAAACAATAGAAAGAAGAAGAGAGAGAGGTATTGGTAGATGGGCATCATTTACAAATTTGTAGTTATGTGCCTTCAAAGTGTTTCTGAATTATGGTGACCCTAAGGTGAACCTATTGCGGGGGTGTTCCACGGCTGAGAGTGTGTGACTCACCCAGGGTCACTCAGTGGCTTTCTGTGGCCGAGCAGGGAATCGAACCCTGATCTCCAGAGTCATCATCTAACTCTCAAACCACTATAACACACTGGCTCTCCAGTTGACTGCACAGATCCACATACTTAAATTAAATTTCAGTTTAGGGTGAAGACTAGGGTGAAAAGCCAGATATTTCACACACAAAATGTAGGATTTCAGGAGAAATTTGAAGACAAATTGAGAGGTAGCATTTTACAGGACATATGGGGAGAGGTTCCAGGTTGTATGGGGAGAGGTTCCATGTCAATGAAAGAGTGTGATGCCAAATTATTTAAGGGAATATGAGAGCTTTCAGAGGCTGAGATTATTTTACCTAGCAACCAAAGGTCTGTTGTGAGATAAGGGCAGAAAGACCCCCTGCAGCAGCCTGAGAAGTTTATAAAGTGTTTTCATGCATAACTAATACTTCACATTGAGATGATAACATATAAATAAACACTATCTCTTGTTAAGCAGGATAAACCCAATTATGGTTAATTAAGCATGGCTGGAGTGTGTGTTTTAGATCTGATTCAGATCTACTGATCCCTTTGCAAAATTGCTATGGTCGTTGTACCCAACTTTTAGAGATTGAACTGTTTCTTTCTCTATTTCAGATTCACCTGCTGGCATGGACCTAAGCAATTGTCGGGAACAGCCAGAACCTACAGGTAATGTGGTGTCCTTGTCATCTCTCCACCATTACAAGATTTTTCTCTTACCAATGGCCATAAGCTAGCTCTTACAGATCATAGTCCCAGTAAAAATCATAGATAGAAACTTTATCCAGGATGCCTAATATATAGTACTTACAGAGCTTATTTTCTTTCAGTGCATAGGGCTGTCACCTATGTGTGAATATTTTTAATGATTTGTTGCTGCTTTTAACATTTGAACTGTAGTTCTGATTCTTGTGTATTGGGTTTGAAACAAAAAGACTAAGATTTAAATAGCAACTCATCAGTTTACAATTTTTTTCTGGGTGGGTTAGCTTCTTACTCAGCTTCAGTTTTCCAGGAATATAGGAATATAGACAGCACTCCCCTTTTTTAGTGAACAGAAATGTTGCAGCTGCCTGAATGATTTGCCATCATATTTATTTGTTTGTTTGTTTGTTTAAAAATCCTTCCAGATATTCAAGATGTTCAGGATGATGGCAATTCCAATACATCCCATGAAATGGAAAATATGAACAATAATGAAGATGCAAAGGACTATCATTTGACTAATGGAAGGGGGAGAGAAGGTAAAGTGGAAATTGTGTGATTAAAAGGAAATAATTTGGTAGAACAATATGCTGCTACCGTGAGAGATCTTACTTTTTATTTAGTTAACTGAACCAATAAAATGGTTCAGAATTTTAAATTTTAAAATGCCCTTGATTTTAAAATGCCCTTGATTTAATTGGACACTATTTCAGAAGAGGTAATCCCCTTCTCCTTTGTCTTTCATCTTCTGAATTCCAACCTGCTATTTTCTTTTTCTACCACCCAAGTGATAGGCAAAACTTGAAAAGTTACTATTTTTTTAAAAAAAGTAATTTGTTGTTGCTTGTTGTAAAGTTTTTAAAGCCTTAATGAATTATCATTATTCCTTGTAGTGTAATCCTTTCTTGCGGACTTAAAGTCTGTGGATTTGCATATCCCCCCTGTCCCCCCTGCATTTCACCATTCCCAAGCAGATGGATTACTTTTTTTTTAAAAAAACAACACTATGTTTTTCTTAATTTTTTCTTAATTCTTCTTCTTCTTCTTCTTTTAAAAATTAACTTGTAGTATTAGAGCTCCAAAATTGCATAGAAAAGTTAACATTAAAATAAATAAAAATAAAATAACCAAAAGGCATGCTGGGTGGGGCATAGGGCAGGGATGCAGGGCTAAAGGGGAGTCTAGAAGAGAGAGTACAATGGCAGTAGCATCCTCAGTCACACAATTGCAAAGATGTGTGATATGGCTTCTCTAAAACCAGTATGTTTCTTTTGTAAAAACAAAACTGATGTGATTGCTGTGAGAACAGGGCTTGTGTGGTAATGTCCCCAATCTCTTACGTTCAGCAACACCATCCTTAAAAGGGTCAACTCAGCAAGGAAAGACAATTAGCTTTTAGTTGGCTCAGAAACCCTTAAATCATGTGACAGCTCTAATGTCACTTCTCTTTTTTTTACTCTGAGGAAAACCATCTGAGTTGCACTTTGCCAGAAAATCTGGTGGAGCCTTTTCTCTGCAGCACCTCTGGTTGTTGGAAGACTCAGTAATGCATGGTATATGGAACCACTGTGTTGTAAATGTATTTTAGAGGCAAGTTCTAGCCTAGTCCTCTCCATATATGGAGAATTTTCCACACATTTCAAATTATATGTTCTAAAGAATTAGCTCTGGCTTCTTTTCCTTTTAATTCTTTTAAAAAAGATTTTCATGTCAAGTGCAACTTTTCTTGGAAGCCCCACCTGCTGGAAGTGCACATCACATGACTTTAAGATGCAAAAGTCTTCTTTTTCATCTGATTATTTTAACAGTGAAGAGTTTGAGACTGTAAATAAAAACTTTCCATTGATCACCACCACTGCCTCTTAGAAATTTTCAAAGCCAGGCAACTTTTTTTTAAAAAATTGTACTAACATTAATTAATCCGGAAATGTTACCTTTATCACCCTTGTAACTGGAGTTACTAGGACAGCAACTGTCTGCACCAAGACAAGAGATAAGAAGTTAAGGCGATAATGAGGGAGGCCATGAACTTCCTCTTTGTGTCCTCCATTATGGACGCTTAAGCTAAAAAGGAAAAAAGCACTGTTTTTGTTTCACATAAGTTGCTGTCAAAAATGACAAATCCATGTGTACAATATGTTTCAATTTGTACAAGACTTCTCTTGCAGAAGTCTTCAACTCTGCTACTTATGCACAGAAGTGTTCCTGTTTTTGCACTTACCTTGATGATGGGATAGCTTGTGTAATTTGTTTGCAAGCAAGGCCACATACCTTGATACCACACTGGAAATGTTACCCTTCCCCAATCAGGGTTTTTAAACCACTTCAAGGAGGTGTTTCCACTCCTATTGTGCATGTGGCATAAGCTGTTTTCAGATTTATATTCCCACTTGTACAAATCCCATTTCTGCCATCCAAAGTTCCATATATCAACTTCTCTTCCAAAATGTATCTTGGTTTTCTGGCTATTGGATACACCTTCTCTTCCAAAATGTATCTTGGTTTTCTGGCTATTGGCTACACTTATGAGCCAGAATTTCCCACCCAGGGTTTAGGGAAAGAGGTTACAATGTGGCTTTCACACTTTCATTGTTTCTAGGGTCCTCAGTTCACAGATTTTCACTGCCCTCCTGCTAGCACAGGGTGGGAAACCTGTAGCTCTTATCCTAATATTAGGCAGTCCTCTAGCAAGAGTGAACTATCCCTCCACTAACACTTCACTGAGTAGGTAGTAAGGAGGAGAAAGAAAAAGAGATGAGAGAGAAACAGGACTTTATTACACAAGGCAGTAAGCCAGAATTAAAGTAAGATATCAGCATATTTGCCCAGTACTTATCACACAACATTGTGTCTATGCAGTTGCTGTTTTGCATTTCCTTTGTTTCTGTAATGTACTTTTTCATTGTTGGGGAGAACTCATCAATAGGCTCCTAGTGTCACTCCTATTCCATTAGCCTCTAAGTCCTTGTTCTCACTATGATTTAAAGTGAGTTGCTGATTGCGTTATATGACTGTCATTCCCACTTGAAACTGATTCCAATCCTACTGTGTTCAGTTTCAATCACAATGAAGTGAGGCAGACACAAAAACCCCACTGTTTCCTGACACTAGTTGTTTGGTGGCTCTTTTGAAATGAATCAATTCTGAAGCATGTTCAACAAGTGGGAACAGTGGATTTGAATTGTATCATTCGGGAGGGGAGGGACTAATGGCAGAGGGTTGTTTACCATCCCTCCTCGGTTTTTGGGAAATCAGCCATCCCCCCTCCTCAGCGCTGCTTTTGTGCTTGTGATGTGATCTATGGGCACATGATAGATTTTTTAAAATAAAAAATTGACAGAATATGCAATCCATTGTATTTGCAATTACTTGTAATTAAGGTCGGACTGCAGCTCAGTGAGGCAGCTGGTTGCAAAACCTATGGATTGAATATCCTGTCAATTTTTTAAAATATATATATATAGTTCCCAAGCCAGGCTGCTCAGAGGGGAAATGGTGTGCTTGAGCAGCCTGGGTTGCTGAGGGGCAAAGGAAGGCTCAGTTGCTAAAGTTGCCCCTCTCGGCACCTGGAATGGCCCCGTCCTTACCGTGTTGCCGCTTGCGTCACCAATGAGGTGCAGATGATTGACATGCATTTTGAAGTGGTGCAAACTAGTGGGAATGATGATCACGCCAAAAAAGAAGCGATTACAAGGGAATATTGAAAAGATCCACTTTCATAGTGGGGATGACGGACCTTTTGGAACTGATTCACTGACATGGAGTGAAGGCGAATCACAAACCAGTTTACATGTAAGTGGGAATGAGCCTTTAGTGCGATGGTTCCCTTCAGCAGCAGAGATCCACGGTATTCATATGGCGTGAGCAGGGTGATTCTCCTCCTCTCATCCATCCCTCTTGCAGCAAGCTAACGTTGTTTTTACACTGTATTTTTCAGGGTTTTGGGTTTTTTGTTTTTTTGTTTTTTTTTTGCTGTGATTGTGTAGTAACAGCAAAAATAAAAAAAAATAAAGGAATGGAGTCAAAACACTGCCATCAAAGGCACACATGGGATGAAAGGCATGGAAGGTGAGATATGGAGCTGGTACAGAAGGGACAATGTATTGCCAAACTAGCACACTCATGCAATTGCAGAGAAGTCTGATACTTAATGTTTTCAAATCTGTATGTTCCTGTTTATTTCACTAGTGTGATTGTTGCAAGAACAAAAGCTGATGCAATAAAGGCAAGAGGTGGCAGACAAAGGGAGAGAAAAGGAGCTTCACTGATTGCTGTTGGCTCTGGCCACTGTGCGGTTTCGCTGTACCAACCACTGACCACGTTTGAGGCAGCCTTTGACAGAAAAAATATTTCTTGCCCCTGCTATAG